ATATTCTTTCTTGGTTTCTCTTGTAAAGATTAGGAGATTATCTAAGTATATAATAATAATTACTTCTAGTAGTTCTTCTAGCACTTTATTAATAAATTATTGGAATAATACTGGTATATTGGTTAATCTAAATAGTATAACCAGATATTTAAAATATCTGAATTATATTCAGAATACTGTTTTCTATTCTTTGTCTATAGCAATATATAAGGTATTATATATATTAGTAATATTAAATTTAGTAAACTATTTTGCTTCTCTAATCTAGTCCTGGATTTCTGATATAAGAGATAATAGATATCTGTTCTTAATTATAATTATATTTAATAATCAGTAATTAATATATAATTATAACTCTCTTTTCTTTTTTAGAATAAATAGAACTTCATATTCTATAAAAGATTTTAAAGATTTAATATATTCTTTTACTAGTTATTTATTAATATAATCCTTAAGTATTTATAACTCTTTTCCTGATATAGTATATAATTTCTTATATACTATTTTCTTTTCTTTCTGAATAGATATAGTATAGTTATATAGTCTATAAAATAATAATTCTAGTATTTATAATTATTTAAACAGTTCTCTGAATTTCTAATACTTCTTAGATAGTCTTATCTACTCAGTAGAGATAGCTACTAGTTCCTGAGAATTAATATATTTCTATAATTTAAAGTCTTCTTTCTGAGATACTTCTATATTCTCTAGTAAAGAATACCATTTCTTTTCTAATTTATTATCTAGTATTATAATTTTAAGATATTTATTCTTATTTTCTAGTATCTATTCAGTTATTTCTGCTAACTACTTCTTCTCTAAGAGCCTGATTACTGTTACTATTATAGTCTTTACAGAATTTCTCTTTACAGTACTCTGATCATGCCTTTTAATCCTTTCTCTACTATATATAGAATATTCTATTATATCTTTAGTAAGGGTCTAGATACCATATCCTGTATATAGTTTTATTAGACAATAGTAATTATTTAGTTAGAGTATTTTTTATTTCTAATCTATTATTAAATTGTGTCTCTTAAGCCAGAAAATTCCTAATACTATATTATACTTGTCTTCTAAAGATATTATATTAAAAGCTAAGTATTCAGTATAAGCTCCAATAACTATAGAGATAGATTCTATTTTAACTATAATCTAACTAATTTCTAATTTCTGGCTGTCTAGTTCTAAAATAGATATAATAATTTTCTTTAGTTATTCTTTAATCTTTATCTATTACTAGTATTCAGGATTTATAAAGTTATTTATTGCTTCTAAATTAATTATGATTCTAGTAGATATACTATTAATTATAGCTATTATAGTAAGATATCTTCTTTATACTATAATCCTAAATTTAATATAGTTATATATATTATTTCTAGGCCAGAACTTAGCTATCTTTTTCCAGTTATAGTAATAAAGATATAGATTATTAAAGTAAACTATCTATAGAAGATTCTTATAGTCTTAATATATAGAGAAGTAGCAGTATATATATATTTATATAGAATATATTTCTCTATATTCTTCTTCTACTCTACTAGATTATATTATATTAAGGGCTTGATAGTATTTCTATTTATCTTCTTTATATATACTATACTTATTCTTATAATTATTATAATATTGCTGATATTCTTTTTAGTTTTCTTAGTTTAGATTCCAGTACTTATAGTTCTAATATAGATATTACTAAAATAGTTTTTTTAATAATCTTAAGAATTTCCTTAGATTTTCTATAATTTTATAGACTATATTATTTATTTAGTATATAAGTTTATTTTATCTTCTTTTAAGCTATTGTCTTAATTATGGCTCTATTATTTATTAGCTTATAGGATTGCTGATTACTGTCTATAGTCTATTAATAAGTTCTATAACTCTTCAGTATTCTTTATTTATTAGATTTTCTTTATAGAGATTTTCTGATATCTTAGATATCTTAAAAAGTTTCTCTATATTAAGATTATAGCTATTCTATTAAGTACTGTACTCTTTATTTAAAGAATTAATTTTTTATAAAGCTTAATTTATATTTCTTTATCTTGAAACTGGCTTGTTATAGTAAACTCTATTATTAAGTCTGTTTTCCCTATTTAGGGGTCTTTGCTCAGTATTTTCAGGGCTGGCTATCCTTATAGTACTGAGTTATATAGACTCTATCTGGTCTTTTAGTACTCTAGTAATATTATATATGCCTCTCTCTAAGATTATATTAAGCTAAGCTGGCTTCTTAAAATATACTACTCTTAATTACTATAGTTTCCTGCCTTATTACTGTTTCTTCTGTGGACAGTTTTCTATAAAGTGTCCTAGCTTTCTATAGCTATAATATATTTATTCTTTTTTATATCTGTTTCTTTCTTTTTATAGGATATTATGGCGCTGTTATCATTTCTTATTAGTGTTAAGTTCTATAGATTATAGGCTATAAGAATTATTATATCCTTAGCTTTATGATTATATATTTCTATAATTATTTATACAGTAGTTATTATCTTGTTATGGAATCACTGTATTCTAGTTCTGTTATCCTTGTCTTTTAATATTGAAGTCATACAGTTTATTATTAATTTTAATTACTTATTTAATAAATCTATTAAGAGTCTTAGCTCTCTCTATCTAGATAAGTTTTTTCTGGATTTCTGGTTTTAATATTTCTTTAAAATAGTAAATGTATGCTTCATTACTTTAATTAAGATATATAATAATCTATATAAATTCTAATACTAGTTTACTAATAGATTTAGTTTATTTTATTTAATTAAGCTATTATTCCGCATTTTGTACTGTATTAATATCTTTAAAGATATTCTTAAGTTATTTCTTGAATTAATTAAAGCTGGCAAAAATTTATTTTATAATACTGTCTTAGTTATCCGCGATATTCTCCTGGTAATCCCTAATATAGGATTCAAACTAATTGAAGGCCTGTCTTTTCAGGTATATAGATATAAAGTAGACCTTATCTATATCACTAAAGATCTTACTTCTATTAATATTAAAGTATATATCCAGTTATATTAAGAAGGCTTTAAGCTTGCTTTACTATCTGTTAAAAGACTCTAATAGTCTGATCTTAATAGTCTTAGCTATTAGGCAACTTTCTAGTTGGTCTATCTACTCTTAAAGCTGTAATACCATTTCTATTATTTTTCTAGAAGTTAGATTACTATCTATCTGGCTAGCTACTAGACTTCTGGTGCTTGCTTTATTAGTAGATACTATAATATTTTAAGTCAATACAAGACTTGATTTATATAGACTAGTAATCAATATATTATATCTAGGGATTCAGTTAAGAGCTCCTAAGTATTAGCTGTCTTATATTATGCTATAACTAACCTAATTAATGAGACCTAATATCTCTGTAACTATAAATAATAAGTTATTCTGAATATAATCCTATCTAGGATTCTTCCAAGTGACCTAATCTGAGGTTCAGTAGGTACAACAGATTTTGTATATAGCTTAAGTCTAAAAGGCCAGGCCTATTAAGTATATATACTTAATAGTTAAGGAAGTGTAAATAAGTTAATTACTAACTTAATACTAAAGATATATCCTAAGTAATAATTTAGATTGATTATAAAGAACTATTCTAAGTATATAAATAAGTATTCTTATATATTTCTATCTATTATATCACTGCCATGATATATTATATTACTGATATATTATATTATATTACTAACATGTTTCGGTTATAGCGCTGCCATGATATAGCTTATCAGTGATATATTTTGGTCACATGATCCATTAATTATGTGTATGCGATAGTTGCTCATATAATTAGGTGTTTCTTGGTGCTTTTCCCTTCTTGGTGCTAGTGTCCTGTCGTGTCACTGGTTCTGCCGCCTGATTCCGCGTCTGATAAGTGCACTAGACAAGGGTCTGTAACACCCTGGTACATGTGCTTAAATATCTGAAAGGCACACGCGCTCTAGGAATCAAATACCATCAAAATTAAATATCAACATTCAATAAAGAACCCCCCGATACATATAGCGATTCAGATTGGAGAGGTCCACACACCAAGGCCCGCAGATCAGTAGGTGGATATGTCTCTAAGCTTGCCGGAGGACCGATAGCCTGGCAAGCAAAACATCAAACATGTGTGGCAACTAACTCAAACAAAGCTGAGTATATTGCTGTATCTGAGGCATTAAGAGAGGCCTACTGGATTTGTGAGATCTCCTACGAAAGGTAGGGGATCCTTTACGTCCTTATATACACGTAGATGTTCCCTTCGCTGCCCAGGTCACGTGCTTGGAGGCCTGAGGCAGCTACACCCAGTAGGCGAAGTACTAGCTTATCACGTATTGCTAACGTACGACATAGGATTACACTGTATTATCTAGATCTATATTGGTATTATCTCTTATATAGCAGTTAGTGTACTCTAACAGTTTCTGGAGATTATTAAACTTACAAGAATTAGAAGGCCCTACAATCTGTTAAGAATAGATTTAGGACTGATAATTTAATTAACCTGGATAAAGATAAAGAAGAGAGACTAATAACCCTATATGTCTTTAAGATATATATAAGATTTCTTTTGTTTACAAGTATATCCCCAGCACCAGCACTCCTAGTTGTACGGACCCTGTGTACAATACCCTGAGCAAGGCCTGCACCTCTTCGTGGTGCTCAGGACAAGTAGCCACTAGCTACGTGGTGAAACCAAGCAGGCCATTATGTATGTACATATTTATTTTTCTGCCGGTCCTATACTAGCGCTTACATGAAATTTTTGTTGTTGTAGTTTTGTCTTAAGGGTCTGCCGTAAGAGATACCAACACGCACCAGGCGCGGCGGGAGCACGCACCCTGGAACATCAAACGTCAACCAACCAGTGGGTGAATGGATGTAGTGAACCCTCGATGGACCACATACTAGGTAAGAAAGACTCGATGTGGGGCTTTTCCCACTTAACTTTTTTTCCACAGCTGATTAGCGCCGAGCTGAAATGTACAGCTGAAGGCGATCTCTTCCCCTGGTTCTTGTAAAACTTAACACATCTGCAGGCGTCTCAGGTAGCAGCTGCTTTCCGACTTGAATTCACCAATATCTGCTCCTTCCAAGAGCAATAGGAGAGGAGGGGAGTGGTTAGATGATGATTACCCGCCGGTCTCCGCAGTAGGGTTCGTTCGCATGCCACAGCACACTCACAAATCGATTGACTTTGTATATTGCCTAAGGCAAGATAGGGATGGAATTTGTCTTCATAAATGTCAAGGAGCCAAAAGATGCCCTTCGGCTCGCGAAGGAGCCGGAGATTCGATCCCATGTGGCTCGGCACCAATGGAAGCAAGCCGAGAACCGCCCATCAACTACCAGGTCGCAGAAGAACGCGTATTTGCCGATATGCGTGGACATGGACGTGTGTTCTCGAAGCGATCCAAACGCCGACCCGAACGATCTGGAGGATCGATCGTCCACCATCTCAATACCCCCTCAGTTGGGTGGACTCCGTGTCGATCCTTTCTGGTCATATCCGATTGAAATCAAGCCTTTCATACCACTTCTCGTGGACCACTGTATGTATTAAGTTAGCTATATTGATAGTTTACGCGAGTGTAGCTGTACTGACCGGTACTCTAAGATCTCGCGCATATGGCTGTTGAGATCCCGGAACTCGACCAGCCTGGGAACAAAGGCCTTTTGAGAACGAGTTGGTTTCCACTAGTGATGACAGATCGCGCACTGTTCCTAATCACCATGTTGCTTGCCGCGTCTAATTATGCCTCTGTACACAACAAGTCGGCCATGAAGTTGCATCTCCTCAGTTTTCAATGTGATGCCATCCAAGCCATCAATACTGCCTTAAAATATCAGCAACCTAGCTATATAAATGATGCCCTGATAGCCGCCATTGCGAAAATGGGAAGCTACGAAGCAATTTACGGGAATATCGACAATTATAACGTGCATATGAATGCCCTCACCCGCGCCATCGCATTACGAGGCGGACTGTCCAGGCTTGGTTTGGATGGCCTACTCCGGCGGATCATAGTTTGGATTGATCGTAATGCAGCCTTCCTGCATGGGTCACCGCTGCATTTCCCTGGAGCTACTCTAGTACCGGGCCAGCCATTGCCCGACCCGAACCCCGGTCATTTTCTTGGAGTTTCATGAGCTAAGTGCAATATCACGGACGGAGTTTGTGCACATATATATTTAGTAGCTTGCGTTACATATCTAGAGTTAATTGTTGCAACGGGTCTCACCCTTTGGTAATCTCCATAGTTACGTATAACCGTCGATTCAGTGAGATATATAACGAGCAGTATTGTTCGATTGTCTAATATAAAACCGGTCCCGGCAATGGAGTAGAATGTGCCCTGCAGCGAGGAACAAGTGGAAGGTGATATGTATAGCTGTGCGCGAGATTTGTCGTGAAACCTGTCTGTTGTGTTAGCTAGGGTTGATAAAAGAAAATGGAACAATGCAAAATGGGCGAGATGAACTCATTTCCGAGATCCGCTCACATGTCGACGGCATCCATGATTCTACATTCGACAAATGCGGCGAAAGAGAAGGATTTTCAGGGGAACTACAAGCCCCGGTGTCTTATTTGGGGCTAGATATCTGATCTATGCACCTTTATATCATCTTGTTTCTCGGGGGGTGCTGAAGAAATGGATCGATAGGGCTTCGTGAGCAAGTTGAAACGCTCAGCGGAGCGATAGCTAACCTAGATAGGATTCATGACTCCTAAATCCGACTAGCTTCCTTGCTGTTAAACCGAACACGGAAAATTACAGGATATTCAAAATACCCTAAAGCAGAGAATGAAACTCTGCGTAGACAGCTAGAAAACCTGAAGATAAGCGTGGAAAAGACACTTAGACAGAGTTTTCTGTCGTTACCTAGGTTACCCGTATATTCGTATCTTCTTCGAGTATTGATACTTCACCACTGGTGAGTTCAGAGATGGCTGCCGCGCTTTGCGAACTACTTAACTCCAGAGGATACCTATCGACCATGGCGATATTTGAAGGCTCTCGAGGCGGAACATAATCCATGGGCATATCTGGCCAGATATATATAAACGAGAGGTCAGCGGCCCGCATGGCAATAAAGGATAAAGAGATACTCTTCGGTATGTTGGGTGCTTCCCACAACACGTACTCTATGTGACGCAGAAATTTCTCGTGGTTGTGCCACTACTATATAGGGTCCCTCAAGAGATTCGACACGCCGATTAGGTTCATCCTGACCCGCGGAGCGTGTATACGTTCTTGAGGTTACCGGGTTGCTTCCCTCTCGTGCTAAGCTTTACGTGCTTAACCCTTGCGACTTCGACAGAACCTCCTGCTGTCTCGAGCATCTCACGATCGACAGCAGGTCTGGTAAGTGGCCATGGAGTCATATGCGTAGTCCATGCATAGTGGTAGTAGTGTAGTGGAATTTCTCGGGCTCTTCGCCACGAAGGCCGCATGTAGCCCCCTAGCAAGTATGTATAGAGTAGTTAAGATAAATATATGTATATACATATGTTTTTCATTTCTTTCTTTTTTTTTTTTAACATTCTTGGCGTTTCCAAGTTGTCCTGTTCTAACTATGAAGCATATAATCATCCGCATAATAGTGAAATTCAGTTTCCATAATTCCGGTTTATCGATCGGTTGGATATCTGGTATCATAACGGCATTTCTCCACGGAGGCATCGACACGGCCATTCACATAGACCTGCCCAATAGCTGTCATGAAGAAGGATATGTCTGCTGCCTATCCCTATGTCAAAGCATACTCCTAGCACTTAACGCATGATCCCCAGAGGTACCTATATTGCTATACTATGTTCCAAGATAATGATATATTTAGATTTCTAATCCTCCATCCACCAACAACAGCTCCTCTAACTAGACCTCCTCGCTATACAAGCACAAAGGCTACATGCCCCTGCCCCTTATAAAACATGCCACTTGCTTACGCAGTTCCGCTTCCCGCCTCCACACCCGTATAATTGCAATCGCCCTGCACAACATACTGCTTATTAGCCGACAGATTATCTAACAAACTATCCGGCAAATGCAACGTATCCTTGATAATCTGCCTTGGCGTTAGCTTCAACCACTGCCCGATTGAGATATCAGTGAACCGTGGCGCCTGCAACATTTCTAGGAACACAACGTCCTCGACACCCGTATTCTCGATATAGTGGGACGCAGTGGCAGGAACATATGAGATATCGCCCGCCGAGAAATCAAATGTCGCGCCCGCCGTTGGTGCCTGGTATACACTGACGCGGGCGTTGCCGGAGAGGAAGAAGCCCCACTCGTCACTTGTGCCATGCCTGGGTTGGTTTAAGTGAATGGTTAGTTCATGCGTGGGATGTCTGATAGTTTGGAGGGGGAGTTATGCTCACCAGTGGATTTCGCGCATTGCACCAGGCTTGATGGTTACCAATGCAGCGCTGAACATCCTCGCGATGGGGAAGCTCTGAGGGTCAATGATCTTGATGCTCCCACCGGGGACTTCGTATGCCTCCTGTTTTGACAAATGGTATGTGTAGCTGGAGTTACCGGATGCGACTCCCCCAGGACCTATAACAGTCTGTTCACTGAGGTTCGCGGGTGCGGGCGTTCCATTGAAGATATATAACTGGTCCTTGGGGAGTTCATTAAAGTCCGAGAGTGGCGCTTGGAGGTCCTTCGATAACACTTCTTTAGGGTTGCGCAGGAACATTTCAGTAATAAGCCCTGTACCGCCATCGTCAAAATCTCCCTGGTCAAAGACAAGCATAAACTCTGCGCCTTCATCCAATGCCTGCAGGGAATGTGGAACGCCAGCGGGGAAGTACCACACGTCGCCGGCCATGACATCATCGATGAAAGTTTGGCCGTCTTCATCCATTGTTTGTATGCGGACACTTCCGTTGAGGACTAAACTCCATTCATTGGCCTTGTGCCAGTGGAGTTCGCGATATGCGCCAGGGGCGAGCTTCATGTCTACTCCTGCCATGGCGGTGGCAATTGGAAGATTGTCTGTGTTCTCTTGGCGCGTCCATCCGGCATTTCCTGGGAGGATACGGTTGTGTGATAAGCCGATGGGCCATTTGGCTTGTTTGACGTAACCATTGTCGGAGGCAGGGGGAGCGAGCGTATCTGGGTTGAGGCGGTCATAGGCATAAGTACGTGGGCCGGGATCGGTGGAACCGAGGTCTCCACGGATGGGTTGGGGGTTGGTGGTGTCTTTGAAGGTGAATGGGATGCCAATATCCGCGTTGGCACTCTGGCCTGGGGCGAGCTCATATGAGGACTTCGGGACCTGGGCGCTATTGGACGGGTTAACCTCATCCGGAATAACACCTAGCAACGACGAGCTGCCACGGAGGGGAGGGCCCGCGTTCGACTCTTCATCGCCAACTCGACTGGCCCATCCATAAGGTGCCCCGGATGCGGGAAACGCGTATACCACTTGCAAATAGCTCGCAAGCACTAGGAGTTGAACCAAAGTATCAAGGATACTTGAGTGACGATGCATGACGTATCAGTGGACTAGTAAGCAGATGACAATAACTATAGCAGGAAATCTAGCTTAGATATTTCCATGTCATCTTGAAGGCTGAGAGATAGTGCCCTTATATAGCTATTTGGATCTCACTTACTACACTACACTCCCATTATTTCAAGCACTGGTTATTAGAGCCCCAGCCTACAGCGGAAATAAGGCGTCATAGTTTGAGAAAATAGATACCTACTATTCCACACTTTTACAGATCGGCAAAAGCTTAGGCTGCCCTGCTTGCGCCAACTTGACACAACTTAGGCTCCTCCGTCACACATGTGGAGAGCATCTCTTAGCCTTGCGGGGTATTATCGCTATGAATGAAGGGAATCTGTGATGGTGAGTGAGGGGAATGAGGGAAATGAGGGGATGAGGGGATGGCCCTCTTCCTATTATTTTTAGCTGAGAACACGAAGGCAATTGGGTTTGGAGAGTCTCATAACTAATCCTTTTCCGATTTGAGAGTGATCTGCATGCTATCATTGTGTATTTTTCACGACCACTGAAGGGATTACAATCGGCTAGTCGGCATCTCGTAATGTAGCCGATTGCTTGCTCTCTATATAGTGCTAAGTCTGAGGCCGCCGCTTGAGGGGGAGAGAGAAAGCGCACTTGGCCGAGGTTTAGGCGGAGATGCTAGATAGGCCAAAACACGTGAGATAAGTGACAATGCCTCCTTAAATTAAGTATTGGTTAGTCGGTAGAAGCCACGTAATGATATGGATCGCGGGATTTTGCTTTGGCTTCCGAGCAAACCCTAGGACTGCTCCAACGGCTTATCGGCAAGGCGGAAATACAGCCCTGCGAAGTAATAAATACTCTTAAAGGGTAAGCCAATGAAGTGCGCTCTTTAGGTGGAGTAGTGCCCTGTAGGGCTGAATTAAGTGGAAGGAATAATGTTGCCTAGTTCTAACGAACCTGGTGCAAAGTTTACTGTACTGTTGGTTTCCGTCTGGGTCCACTCATTTATCGCCCCCAAATCCTATACAGTTACCAATAACGGGCTAGGAAAGGACCTGGTATTTGTCTCCTAGAAGAATATCGTAGACTTTGTCGTTCTAGCAATTCTGCAAAATCCCAATTCGGGGGGATTTTATTCACTCAGCTCGTTTTGCCTTTCATATATGGGAAGGCATAAGTACAGTAACTTAGCAACTGATTAGTGCATATAAGCCATCTAGGTCCTTTCTACAAGCATGATGCAATGTCGCGCTACACTAATGATCTCAATCCTAGTCTAATCGTCGTTACTATTCTATACGTTAGCTAAAATAATGAGAAACTTATAACAGGTGTTTCGCCCTCATGTGGCCTCGCTTGGCGCCCTCGCTGGTTGGCCCTCTAGAAACGCAATATGACCTCTCCGGCTTGCGGCTGCGTCTCTCACTGGTTCAGGCCCTCCCTGCCACCGATCTGTGTCCGTCCTACAGTGTTGCAGGCATCATTCTGAACTGTCATTTACTGTGTCCGCTGCCAATAGGGATACTTGACTGACTTTACTGCGAAGAAATATCGCCAGGGGGAAGAGAGAAAGAGGAAGAGGAAGAGAGAGTAGATAATTTATCTATTATAGATAACCTCTTTACTATATAATTAATCTGGTTATATGTATAAATATATATCTCAGTATAATAGTCAGTTCTATTTACTGTATTAAAATAGTCTTCTCTTTAGCCTCTTCTACAAAACCTTCCATGACTTGAGAGAGCTATACTAGATATTACTATATCTCTGATATAACTCCTTCTTCCTGTATATCTGCCTGCTATGGCTGCCTGCGCTAGTAGAAGCATGCGCGGTACAGGACCCGTGGAACCTGCCAGCACTGTCCATCCCAAATAGCCCCTGTTGCTCCACCACCGGTCCAGCATCAATATCTGCCGCCCTACCAGCGCTACAGATCCTCACAGTACTCCCGCCTCTGCAGACGATGCTCTTGCCAGATTAGGCCCAGCGTTAACGTCCGCTGAATCTTCTGGTACCAGAGACTTAACCGGCCCTTCCTCGGCAGGAGACTGCGCGCCTGCAGCATTGCCACAGCTACCCCTGATTGAGTCTGTCCAGCAGGGTATTTACTCTCAGTGTGAGCAACCATGGCTGTTGGCAGCGGCAGCACATCAGGTGTGCTATCACTGCCGTGCCAGGGGCCGCTGTTGTTAGGAGAGACTTATCCCACGCAATACCCAGACTGATTCTCTACTGGTAGAATTAGCTGGTAGCCATAATCATGACTTCTTTTTTCCAGTGTTAGTCCAAGACCTGTATCTTCTGCAGTGCCACTCTTTTATCTACAGAGTATGATAGCTGGTACTGTGCCCAGGGATATAACTGTCTACCATACCTGCTATTCTCTGATAAACTTTTAGATCTCCTGCTACAGCGATATGAAGGTCGGCTGTTCTACATAAGTTATTAACTGAATAATCCTTTCACTTTTCCGCGATCAGATCTACTGGCTGGTTTGTGCTGTTTTACAGACATGCAAATATTGTCCTAGAGGGTCATGTCTACTTTTGTTTACTGGACATGGCCGATAGCAGCCATTGTATGTATTGGTTCCTGTATAATAAAGCGGCACGTGCTGAGTATGTATATCTACTTTAGGGTAATTTACATTGGCACTAGTTCGTGTTGTGTGCACCGGCTACTCCGCACCCCACCTTTCAGACATTGAAGGTTCACCTTGGCTAACGATGATAATAACTACATATAACTATTGTCGGAGACATTTATATATAAGCAATAGAGCAACGGTCAGTGGACCCAAAGAGGTGCTTCTCAAAACCTACCAGGCCATCTATAGACCCACCACATGCTCATTTATATACAGGATGCCACCAAGGTCTATAGTCATTTGCGGGCGGATTACGGGCTATCTCGGTTTCTCACTATGGTTTTTAGGGTAACTATCTTTAAAATCGCTAACGTACAGTATTCTATCTTCTGTAAATATAATTTCTTTATCTGAGTATTTTATCCATTGCTTTTTTACTCCTCTTTCTGGTTCCTTCTCTTAGTTTTTCTCAGGGCCTAATTATCTCTTGGTTCACCCTAATATCTTTAAAGGTTATCTTCTCTTATCAGTCCGTCTAGCGTTATATATCATTAACAATTTTTAGATTCGCGATGCTAAACACCCCTAATCCTATCCCATCGACCCAGGGCATAGGACCGAAACAATGCCTGCTATACATAATCCTTATACCAGCGAACTTCTTAGCTTAAGGTCCTTTAATAGGTGATATGTTATGTAAGAAGAATCAGTTAGCTCTTGTGATAACTACTCGGCAAGCTATCTAGAACACTCGAACAGTCCGTAGTAGTGATAGACTATTCTGTGCGAACACCACCCTTAGCCGGCTTACCAGTAGGCTTTCAGCTCTAAAAGCCAATATATATTTAAGAGATCAACTTCACAGTCATTAGCCAGATTTGGTTCAGGAAGCGAAAATATATTTATCTACAAAATAACTAGCTGACCAACATGCCAGTGTAGTAGATAGCATTTAAAACAGTACCGCGAGTCTATTATATCATAAGACAGGCTAAACTCCATTACGTTAAATAACTCTTCTACGTAGAATATCTGGTATGATATTCGTATGACATGATATCAAAACGATCATATTTAAGATCCCTATTCAACTATCTAGAAGGCCTACCTAGGTGGGAATTGTGAGGCCTTTAATATGTGGCCTGTTTACCATAGTATTCAGCAATCCACATACTACCACAGGCGGTGCATATACTTGCTAACAAGCTTGGTCTTTCTCCTCCTCGCTAATATATGTCATGTATTCGTACTCATACAGTCCTCTCGAAGGATCACGGGAAGCTTCCAGCACTTATTACATTGTGACGCCCACGTTCCGCCCTTGGGAAGCATTGGGAGACAGCACAGGAGGTCGTACCGGAAGACTTGTCGGTGAGTGTTACCCATGCGCCCTGGTATCTGCATAGACATATCACTTGCCATGTGGTAGAGATCGACGTAGAGACTTCTGTCCATGAGAATACACCAGGTTCTCCGCGGTAGAGCAAACCGCACCGAGAAGGCTGCCACCTTCGTGCTATCGGTGTCGCAGATAAGATACATCTCAAGATGAGAGCGATAGACTCAGCGAGTCGCATGTAGACAGCTTCCCATCCATTGATCAGGTCTCGATAATGCCGAGGAGGCGTGTACCGCAAGGGACACTGTTGTTTGTTGCGAACATCACAAATGCAATCACTAAGCCTTGAGTCTTTGCTGGCCTGGTGCAGCACAACATACAGGTAACATATCATAGCAAGAGTTGTCGGACGCAGCTTCAATATTGCATCAAAAGCTTCCTAGATCCGTATATAGAATGTAAAATCAATTCTCGCCGTAGAAGAGCGCTGAGACCTCCAGGGAGACATCTCGGCCACAGCAGAAAAGAGAGTCTGAAATCGGTCGATAAAAACCGGAATTCATATCTTCATGGCAATCACGATCAAGATCAGAAGCACCAGCTGTAAAGCAGCCGATAGGGTTTTTATCATAATCAAGATCATAGAGACACACTCGTGGATCACAATACAAGTAGATGGGGCATTTGCGAACTACGCCCGCGAGGCGGTAAATCCGGCATCGGATATTGTATGGCAGATCTAAAAAGTTTCGACCGCGACGGCGCGGTAGGGAGAGAGAATGGAAGTATTGCTCAAGTTTAGATTGATACAGACCGTTGTTCAGAGCCTTCACTAATACAGCTGAATCGAGCCTGAAGTTTTGAATGGGTCAAACGTCGGGTGGGGCACTGCGACAGCACATATATTATAGATTCAGGTACCAACCTGATCACCTGTCGACGGGCCCCACCTGCCACCTGATTTTCTACATACACCGACTTTTTCGACATAGCTTTAAACTATCATATCTTATTCATAATTGGCCCTATCGACGCGGCGCTTGCAGAGAGAGTTCTTAAAGCTAGAAGAATCGATTAATCTTACTAAAGTTGCTAAGGCTCATGGTGTCAACCAAATAACATTGTCAAGACATTACCGTGGCGTACAGGGCATAAAATACAATCAGTATAGAAAGTAATATATTCTCAATAACAAGCAAGTTAAGGACCTTTTTAAAAACTTTCTTATCTAAAATACTAAAAGATTAAATTCTATAACATATTAACTTCCTATAGGGAACAGTCTACTTAGGTTCTATTACCAGAGCATTAAAATAGCTTTCCAGAATAAAAAGAGAAACCCTAGTGAAGAAAAGCTTCTATAATTAAATTATACATACTAAATACAGTTATATAGCATAAAGGAAAATTCCGGGGAGCGCGGTGATTCTGGCACTATAAGGAACTGAGTCGGGACCCTTTCTACAATATCATGACTACTGCGATGTAACTTACTATTCATGGACGTAATGTACCGAAACCCCGGCGTAGTCTGGAGGGTTCTTGTAAGTATTAGTCTTGTATCAATTCTACTGCTCGGTTTAGTGATTCTCACCTAATCGACAGGCGTTCTGCCCTGTATAAGCAGATCCTTTAATTTTCTTTCTAGAAGAGTGAAGTGTAAAGAATATTTAAATACAAAACCAGCTCTGTGGTATATAAACTCAAGACCAATAGTACAGCAAGTTAAAAACACCAGTAAGTCTATTTAAGAAACTTTTCAATCATTCTGTAGTCTTCTATATCTAGAACTAAATATAAGAGCTTACTAGAGAACGGCCTACAGTCCGCTTGTTTACTAACTTCGTCACAGATCGGATAGCGATTCGGCCAGATGACCGTACAGGATACCCTGACCCAGGTGCATGGACAATCGGCCCACGAAGGGCCACCGATGAGAAAATAGCGGAGAACTCAATGGTCAGGATCTCAACGGGATTTAACGGGATTTTTGATTCTTTAGGCATAAAGCCTCCAGCTATGAATTATAAAGTTGTTAGTAGTGGTAGGAGGTCAAGAATCAGTCTCCTATCTGAATAGTGTCTGCTGCCTGCCTTTGAGCTTTCTATCTTCTTTGGCCTACATATCCTTACCTAGTTGACAGGTCCTCTGCCCTGAATAGTAGATATCCTTGACACATTTTGCACGCTGATAATGAAGCCGCCTAGAATAGAAGGTTTCCCGCTCATTTCGACGTTTAGTCAATTTATTTACCCAGTTCTGGCCAACAGGTTCAATTGTAGATCCACGCCTAGAAAGTAGAATATTGGCCATTTCCCAATTTTTAAAGCTGAATATACTAACAAGTTCCTACCCTCCTGCTCTGGTATCCTTTTCATATTTTTGTGCGATTTTAGTGGCAAGGTGGTGGGTCTCAATATAAAATAAACAAAGCGCGTTTCCCGCGCGAGGCGGCCGGCCCGGTGATTAATTTACGTTAGACCTAATTCTTCTAAGGCTTTAATATGGCAGTACCAGAAGCATCTGTACCTGTAGTTGTAATAAGCACTACACAGTTCGAGTTCCATTTAGAGAAGCATCACCATGATCCAATTGAAAGTGAACTAGTCTTCTATCTTCGAGTCCGATAGACATAAATGTTGATAATATTGGCATTGCGTCAAGACCACACTCATGACAACCGTTAATAAGATACGAATTCTTTCCACCCTTCCCATTCTCCGTCCATTCCATTTGGACGTCTACGGAATTCCACATGGGCCCGGCTAGTTCCCTGGGTGACATCAAATCCAATTGCATGTATCCTGCGAAATTCAGGCACACCATCTATCTCAACGTCCAACCCCAGCTCTTCGATATCCTTTGCTCTCCGTGCCACTGAAGCCAAGAGCGGAACTTCCCGAATTCCCTCGTTATTTGGCATTGAAAGCAGCATGTCAATCGCCTTCTGACGAAGCAAGCTGGTCCGACACTTAGTGGCAATCATGTACAGAGGCTGAACGACACCCATGTCCAAAGGGACTCCCAGTGTGCTTCCTGCGGGTTGACTGTGCCACCACGACACTAGCTTATCTGCAAGTCGTATCATATGATCAAAATCAGGTAAGAACCGATCGTAGATCATTTCTTCGGTGTAAAGACATGTTGAGGCGGTTATGACGGCCATGTGATACTGGATCAACAGTAGGGATACTTGTGGGGTCATCTGAGGGTCTCCTTGTGCCTTTTGGCAGGAGTAAGAGTAGTTGAATGCAGAGTTCCATTGCTCTAGGCGCTGTTGCAATAACTGCGTATCCGCGAGGAGCTCTAGGGGAATCAGACCCGGCTGATGGTAGCGATACTGTGAAGCTACCTTGCGTGAAAGATACATGACATTACCATATACCGCATTGAAGATCTGCTCCGCTTGTCTGAACGTGTCGAATATGTATGGGATTGGCTTTGTCTCCTCGACGAGAAGAACAGGAGACCGTGCACCAATATATATTGCCGCTTGTATGTCAAGTTTTACGTAGGCCTCTTTGATATCAACGTCGATATCTCCTGAGCAGGTAATACATTCATCAGCACGAAGGACGTTCCCGGCCAGGGGTCCCAACATACCTCTACCCAGGAATCGTGACATCTGTACAATATTCAGACATCTGTCGAGGTGACTTAAGGCACTTAGATGATCCTTAATTAGGATTTCGAACCAGATACAGATGATTCCACATAGTAAAGCAGCTTCAACCGATCGCCTGTCGCTATGAGACAGCAGCGCTCGTACAGAAGACAACGCTTTCCCGTATTTCTTCAACGCGAGCTTATATCTGGCATCCCCACGCCGAGAAGGCAGGAGACATGCCGTGGATTGATGTTCGGCATTCTCCTCCAGCATAAGTACACTCATTGCCAAGGCACATTGTCGAACAGCGGTATCTCCAAGGACTCCTTGAATCATTAGTGTCCGCCAAGGAGGTATAATGGATTGACCTCGAGGGCTGGTTGCAATGCGCTCCAGAAAATATGCAACATATCGAGCTTCTTGGTCATTTTCATAGACTAACCTTGCCAGTGGCTTTTGCATTGTCGGAATAGTCAACACGTGGGCGAATGAGACTGTTACAGCCGCCACTGCTTTCGAGGGCCCGTCGCAGCGACGACCAGTGGAGGTGCACCGCTTACAGGCCGGCCAGGATTCGTCACATCGGATTCGGCGAGCCCTTCAATCATGTCAGCATCTCCATCTGAGAGCTTGATCTAGGTGAGGTCCGTACTTGCAGGTCTGGCAACCAGTCCGGGATTTGGTATGCGTTTTTCGTGCCATTTCGTTTGACTTCGGCTAACAGAAAAGGAATAGGTATGGTTGATCTCCAATTCTCGCCGTGTGACTAGCGGATTTTGCACCTTGCCGTTATCCTCTATTGTAACTACCTGCCTGAACATACAAGAAAGCAACCTTAACAGATGTCACAGCTGACTCCCAGCCTCGTTCCCTTCCTTGAAGGACCACTACGCCTTTTGGCAACAACACTCTTGGCATCCTACATCAGCTGTAGCACCATGGACTTTACCTTTTCTGGAAGCAGAATACGATCTAGCCAATCGGTAAAACGGAGGGGGGACTTGGCATTCTATAATTCGATTAGGCTGGTTTTAGCCTGAGGCTAGTGCCGAAAAATGTACCTTTAGGATCATTACAGCTAAAATTGGTGTATATACGAAGCTGCTCCACTTCTCATTCGAAAAACCAAATCAGCCAAGGATACCGAGTTACCAATTAGACTAATTTGGTTGTAAAAGTACCATAACCTGACCCTCCAAAATTAAACAAGCCTTAACAAGGATAAGAACTAAATCTGATTAGACAGGGACCCGCCCACGCGCTGTAGTCGTGTACGAGTCTGATATCGCAGTTAACGCCATGTCGTCGCTCTCCCTTTGTTTAGCCGAAAGCGAGACGAGGTCCTTCCACTGCCCAATAAGACAGTATCCCGGATGAAACGCACTCATGCACGCACAAGCAATAACCATCATAGCGCCTTCGAGAATCATAAAAGCCACTTCGTCATTTGCCAGGTCGCTGCTAAACCCACCATTTAGCTCCGCAACGCGAAAGATGGACCGTATGAATATTGTAAGCGTTGCTAAGACCAAACCTAATAGATTCATTAGTCATTTATGAGCACCACACCAGGGCTTTTGCGGTCGACTGTACCTATGAGAAAGCCTTTCCATTTCCAATCACCATCGACCGGTTGAAGAACCACCGGAGCATGGCGCTTCAGCCTCCATACATAGTCGCCGCACAGGATCATAAAGGATCCTAGCGCTACAACCTGCAATGCTAAGCCGGCAATCATAATGTTGATGCCTGTGTGGCGCAGTCCGTCCTGGTTTTGGCCAGCCGTGGCTGTGATGGCGCCGCCGGCGGCCTGCAAGACGAGACAAATCAGGTCACAGGTGATGAAGACTCGGGCGTAAGTCTTCGGTTTAATTCTCGAGATGCTAGCACCGTAGAGGATGATCACTCGCCCGAAACATATGTAAATGGCCGCCGTTATGAAAGCTGGTCCAATGGTAAGACAGATGAGGTATCTGTTAGAGTTAGTCAATGGCACACGTCTACTTGCAGTACTTTGGCTTACTGCAGGAAGGCGGAGAAATTGAATGGATTAGAGTGGAGCATTACTCGTCCTCCGTAACCGATTATTTCGAGAAATATTCCACCGGACATGGCGGCCAGGTAGCTCCAGGTACGATAACGAATTCCGCAAATTACCTGAGCTAAAAGCATTGGGATGAACAGAGCGAGGTAGAAGGCATTCCCTGGTAGACTCGGAATGTATCGAATAAGGGCCCAGTCAAGGGGACATGTCTGAAGTGTACATGGTACGGTGATGATGCTTGGCGTGGGAGGTTGGCTTGTAGTCGACATAGTGGTACCAGGGCAGAATGAATTAATGAAGGCGATTTGAAGACTTCATACTTTCCTACAGCTACCCTTTATATAGGGAAAGTCCATCATCATTTTTTCATCCAAGGGCCGGGAAGTACATTTTGTATACAGGATCCAAGTAAAACATGCCAAGCCCAGTATTCGTATCCGCTCCAGGAGCCTCCACATGTGCAAAGGTCACATCCTCCAGCTAATCAAATTGGCCTCTCCACGTCATTGATAGGTCCTTGCTGTTGAGAAACATAGAGATTAGTAGGTGATGATTGGTAGGGTTTAGGATGTAGTCATTGGCCCTCGGCTTTCTCGAGAAACGAACTGGAGAGAAGTTACGACGCAGATTATGCTATTCCTATAGTAGCCGCAGTGCACGGAAATTGAGCTGATCTATTCCAGGCATCTTTTAGAATATCTGACTGAATAAAGCTAGTTTAAACTCTATTTTAGTTAATCCCTGGATATATACTTCCTTAAGGAATTACCTCTATTGCTTTACCTCTAGAGAGTAGAGAATAAAATCTCTCAGAATCAAGCTTCCAGGATAGTTACTTCCCCCTTTAGAGCCCTTTAAGGACCAGTATATCCCCTGTAACTAGGGCTTGCTGTATCTTAAAGCCTGCCAGTATTAAGCGGTATTGTCTAGCTTCTATCTTTCTTTAGACTTTATTTAAAGCTCTATTAAACCTCTTTTATCTACTTAAAACGACCTCCTAGTATTCACGCTTTGATTTATAAATAGTATTACGGTAGCCATTTCGAGCTTTTTTAACTCCTGATCTGCCTCTAGGCTTGTTTCCCCATATTCGGTTAGCTCTAGTATATCCTTGGCGGCTAGCTTTAATCTCTGGTCCCCCCCCCTCCCCATCGCTTGGAGAATGCGGTCACCTAGGCTTAGCGTGTTTATGAAAAACCCAAGTTAGGGTACTTTGAAGACATATTGCTTCGTCTTCCACCTCTACTCTACTACAGGTATCTCATAGAGTAGGTTATCACGCGGCTGGGGCTTTCCATAACAAACTGGCCTTATCCAGAGCCTCAGGATCTGCCTGAAGACCTTAAATCTACTATCCAGTCACTTATTTACTAGTTTCTATAAATCTATTTTCTAGGTCCCGCTCCATAAACAATATTAATTTATAATCTGACCCTGTAGGGTATTCGTTGTCAGCTAGCCAGCTGACTAAGGGGCGTATTTCTGGGATAACGTAGTTCCCAACCGAGCGCCGCACCCGACCGAGCGCCGCACCTCATATAAAATTCTGCCCGTGGCTGAACTATTAGGGCCTTTATCAACAAAACAATCATATTTCTATATAAAATCGAATTAGGATATTAATTAGGACATTGTCTGCGAGTATGCCCTAGAATATGACAATCACTACAGCGCGGGGGCGCTCGTACGCGCGGCCTAATTGGAGATGGCTCTTGATCTATAAGTATAGTATCTTGAGCTTCTTTAGCCTCATTTTCATGCTGTATATACTCCCGAGCTTCCTGGACTGAGAAACCTTCAGTACAGGTGATTTGGCGATTAGATCGCTTCTTTTTCTGCTGTAGTTCATCAATTGTAG